TGTTTTGGCGGGTCTGGGCTGGGGATTCGAACCTGCCACCTTAGGTGTACGTGGCTGGTGCCTTAGCCGGTTGAGCTATAGGTGCCGAGCCTACATTAAGGATCTTAAGATGAGGGGATCATCCTGCCTTATCCAGATAGGCCCTAAATTCAATGACAAGTGTCCTTGGAAGAGAGGCAGAGGGAGATTTCACAGAGACGGGGAGGAGGCAGTGTGACCAGAGAGGCAGAGACTGGAGTGGTGCAGCCATAAGTCATGGAAACTGGAAGACGCAAGACCTGGTTCTTCTCCAGAGGCTCCACAGGGACTCTGTCCCTGCTGGCACCTGGATTCCAGACTGCTGTCCTCCAGCACTGGGACTGAATACATTTCTGTGGCTTTAAGTTAACTGTGGCAGTTTGCTATGCCATTCACAGGGAATGGACACAGGACCAGGGTTCACCCATCATAATTGTTTGTTTGCCTGTATATTATCTGGTGCCTCCACTTATGGGCTGTATTCTCATGAAAGCCAAAACCTCATTCGTCTTATTCATTTCTTCTGTATGCCCAGCGCCTGGCAGAACTTGGCATATGTTAGGTGCTTTTAAAACATTTGCCACATGGATGGATTTAATCAACCTCCCCGGTGGCTCTACATTATTTGTGAGGGTGCTATGGCTCAAACAAGCCATCCCAAGATTTTCCAGAGGGAAGGAGGCTCTGCCAGGTTGGTGCTGCAGGTCAGGGCAGAACAGACCACGAGGGGTTGCTGTCCTGCGGATGCTCACCTTTTGGTCATCTGTGCTACTGCTGGCAGCTTTCATTTTCAGAGTTATCTCCAGCTCAGGGTCAAGGGGCCATTTGGAGCAACCTGTGGGATTCTTCTTGGCTGGAGGGCTAGAGGCAACATCTATGATCACTCCTGGGGAAGCGTTGATGCTGAAGGACGTGCAGTCATCAGGGGCAGAGCTGTGGAGGAGACAGACTGACCCAGTGAGGAAGAGCCTGGCCCCCCAATGCTCTCCTCAGCACTCCTCCTTTCCCAGTAGGTGTAAACACCAGATGGCACCCAGTGCTTGCTCTGACCATGGGGAGTAAACACAGTGAGGTCGTCAGAAGGGAAACAGAAAGAGAGCCCCCTGACCTGGAGGGCATACACTTCAACTAGAAAAACAGCAGGGGATTGTGCACACCAAATACACACGTGGAGGTGTGAATAGAGTGATGTGCACACCCAGCGGTTTCCACTACACCCATCTGCATACACAGAATTGTGCACATATAAAAACCTCACAGACTTCTGCTTCTGGAATGATAGTAGACCAGATCCTCTGAAGGACTTTCCTCTTATGAAATAGCTGGATCAACGATAACAGACACTTTTTAAAGCATTGCTGAGCTTATGAGAAGTAAGGTGAATCCTCAAGGACTAGCCTTCTCTGCATGTAACTTACACACAAAAACAAGCACACACAGTGGTTAAAATGAAGAACACCAAAGACAAAGAGAAGATCTTAAAAGCATCCAGAAAAAAAATGTCAGATTACCTATCCAGGAGAAACAATTAGATTGAAAACAGATTTTTTACTAGTAATCACAAAATCCAGAGGACAGTTGAATAATATTTTCATCGTATTTTGAAAAAATAACTATTAACCTAGAATTGTACACACCCCCCCACCGGAGATTTTTTTCAGATGAACAAAAATTTATCATTTAAAATCCAGAGGTTATTTTTTTTCTTTTTTTGAGACAGAATCTCACTCTGTTGCCCAAGATAGAGTGCCATGGCATCAGCCTAACTCACAGCAACTTTAGACTCTTGGTTTAAATGATCCTCCTGCCTCCTGAGTAGCTTAGACTACAGGTGCCTGTCACAAACGCCTGGCTAATTTTTCTATTTTTATAGACACAGGGTCTCGTTCTTGCTCCAGCTGGTCTCAGACTCTGGGCTCAAGTGATCTGCCTGCAGTAGGCTTGGAGAACAAGCCTAGCACCTCAGGGATGACTAAGAAATTGTTTGAGGATCTGGGCGGGGCCAACATTTTTTCACACTGGGGCAGAAAGGAAGGTCCACCTCCTGTAGCTGGTGCAGGTTAAAGCTCCTGTTTTGGACTATTACCATCCCCACATCTTTCCCAGGTTCTTCTTTTGGTCTTTAGCTGCCAGTTACTCTATTTTCCCCCAAGCTTCTGCTCACACAGCCCCTGATGCACAGGAATCTACCTGTGACAACAGGAGGTGTCTGAAAATTTTTTAAAAATCAAAAAGAAATAAATTAAAAAGACAAATAGGCTCGGTGTCCATAGCACAGTGGTTAGGGCGCCAGCCACATACATCGAGGCTGGTAGGTTCGAACCTGGCCGGGGCCTGCTAAATAACAATGATAATTACAACAAAAAAATAGCTGGGAGTTGTGGCAGACACCTGTATTCCTAGCTACTCGGGAGGCTGAGGCAAGATAATCACTTAAGCCCAAGAGTTTGAGGTTGCCGTGAGCTGTAATGCCACGGCACTCTACCAAGGGCGACATAGTGAGATTCAGTCTCAAAAATAAATAAATAAGAAGAAGACCAACAGACTTTTAAAAGGTAGCTAGTGGGATAAGGAGAAAAAAATTCACTTACATTTCTATATACCAGCAATAAATAGTTAGAAAATACACACTTTTTTTTTGAGACAGAGTCGCACTCTGTTGCCCTGAGTAGAGTGCCATGGCATCATGATAGCTCACAGCAACGTCAAACTCCTGGGTTTGAGCAATCCTCTTCCCTTAACCTTCTGAGTAGCTGGAACTATAGGTGCCTGCCACAATATCCAGGTAGTTTTTCTATTTTTAGTAGAGACAAGGTCTGGCTCTTGTTCAGGCTGGTCTTGAACTTTTGAGCTCAAGCAATCCATCTGCCTCAGCCTCCCAGAATGCTAGGATTATAGGCATGAGCCCCTGTGCCCAGCCAGAAAATACAATTTTTCAAAACTTAAAATTTACAGTAGGAAAGAAAACACTGTAGAGTACCTAAGATAAATCTAATGAAAGATATGTAAGACTTTAATGGAAAAAAATGATCAGACTTTATTGAGAGCCACCAAAGGAGACCCAAATAAATAGACAGAAATATCATATATGTGATTAGGAAGGCTTATGGTCATGATGATATGAATCCTCTCCAAATAGAGGTATATATTCAATAGAAGGCCAGAGTTTGTTGTGGAAACTTAACGAGTTGATTTAAAAATTTACATAGAAAACCAATGGGCTAAGACAGTCAAGGTAGTCAAAGAGTGAGGCACTCTACCAGCTATGACTTGTTATAGAGCTAGGAAATTAAAATGAATTGTAATGACCTGAGTCAAGACAAGGAAGAATGCAACTTAAAAGTAATCCCACTTGATCTATGAGAAAATGGTCTTGCAGGCTTGGTGCCCGTAGCACAGTGGTTATGGCACCAGTCACATACATCAAGGGTGATGGGTTTGAACCCAGCCTGGGCCAGCTAAACAACCATGACAACTGCAACAACAACAATAAAAGTAATAGCCAGGTGTTGTGACAAGCACCTGTAGTCCCAGCTACTTGGGAGGCTGAGGCAGGAGAATCACTTAAGCCCAAGAGTTGGAGGTTGCTGTGAGCTGTGTCCCCACGGCACTCTACCAAGGGTGACAGAGTGAGACTCTGTCTCAAAAAAGAAAATGGTCTTGCAGACACCAGGAGATGGAGATAGTGGAGACTATATCATAAATGCTGGGATAATTGCTCATCTATATGAAAAATGATTAAATTCCATTAAAAAAAAGAAAGAATTAGATTGATCCCTGCCTCACACCATACACAAAAATCAGCTCTGGGCAGATAAAGATGGAACTTTGACTATTTTAAAAAGAATATGCAGGAGAACATCTGTATGCTCTTTCTAAAACAAGACACAAAACCAGTAAACATGAAGGAAAAGCATAAAAAATTCAACTGGATGAAAATAAATAACTTCTGTTCATCAGAAGACACTGTCAAGTAAAAAGCCAATCACAACCTAAGGAGAAAATACATTCAGAACACAAAGCTAACAAAGGCTTAGTATGCCCTTGGGTGGCACCTTCCCCAGTCAAGCCTTAACATGAATATAGTTCCATTGGTACCTTGGTTGTGAGAGATCTTGGGGCAGAGACATGGCTAAGCCATACTGGATTTCTGGCCCATAGAAACCATGAAATAATAAATGTTATTATTGTAAGCTACCAAATTTTGAGGCAGTTTGTTACATAACAAAAGATAACTGATATAGTATACAAAAAGAAAAAAGAAAGGGGAAGGAGGAGTGGGGGAAAGAGAGAAAAAGAGAAAGAGAAAGAAGGGTGTGAGGTGGCTTACACTTGTGATCCTAGCACTCTGGGAGGCTGAGGTGGGAGGATCGCTTGAACCGGGGAATCGGAGGTTGCCATGAGCTAAGCTGATGCCGTGAGACTCTACCCTGGGGCAACAGAGTGAGACTCTGTTTGGAAAAAAAAAAAGAAAAGAAAAGGAGAATTCTTCTTATCCTGATTTTATTTTGTTCACTGTTTGCCCTGGCTTGGGCCTTTATTTTGCTCGCATGAAGATGATTTCAAACTCTTAAGTCACAGTGGTCATTTAGAGAGAAGCCTTTATTCTGCTCCCAGCATCGCCCAGGTCCTTTTCCTATGTTAACTCATTTGGTTCTTACCACCACCCTGTAAGGTAGGTACTTGCATCATCTCCATTTTACAGATGAGAAAACTGAGGCACCAGGCAGTTTCAGAGAAGAGTCGGAGGAGATGTGATGATGGAAGAGACTGGGGCTGGAAGGGGCCACCAGCCAAGGATTGCAGGTGACCTCTGAAAACTGTAAAAGGCAAGAAATGCACTCTCCACTAGGGCCGCTTTGGGTTAAACTCATTTTTGGACTTCTGATCTCCAGAACTGTGGGGTAATAAATCTGTGCTGTTTGAAGGCATTACGTTTGTGACAGCAGCAACGGGAAGTGAATATACTCTCATCTCTGTGTCATTTTCTTAAGTTCAGGTCAAACCCTGCTCTCCCAGATGACTGGGGTCTGGAAAAGTGGCAGGTAGTCAAAAAAACACTGGAACCAAAATCAGTGTCCTCGTAAGAGAAAAGAAAAAGCAGGTAACATGTTCTAGTGGAGTAAAAAAAAAAAAAAGTCCAAATAATAGTGTTTGCCTTACCACTAGCATATGAGCAGTCAAAGATGAAAATATAAATGTTTATTCCCAGATCAAACAGAAGGAGTCACTGGGCAGTTTCATGATGACGTTAGTTCTTAATCAGTAGACACATACTCCCCCCTCCCTCCATTTAGGAAGTCAGCATTAAAGTTTCACCCTCAATGACGTTTCAGCCTTGGCACTTCCTCCCCCAATCCTGATGGTATTGCTCAAGTTGGCTTTCAAATGCCTGCAGCAGGTGACCAGCTAGTCACCTTTCCCAGTGTGGCCATCAGCATCTGTTTTCACCACTCCTGTGGGTGGTGTGTTGTTTTTATTCTACAGATGAGGCTCAGAGAGGCAGGGTGACTTACCCAGATCCGGGGCTGCTAATGGTGGGTCAGGGTCTGCTGACAGTCTGGCCTGATGCCGTTGCCACCACACTGTGGCTGCATCGTTCTCTGCATTTGCCACCTCCTGTGTATCTGGCACTCTTAAAGACCCGCAGTTCTCAAAGTATAATCCTCAGAACAGTATTATCAGCCCCCCTCCCCCGGAATTTTCTAGATCTTCAGATTCTCAGGCTTCACTCAGACCTACGGAATTGAAAACTCCAGGCCTGGGGCTCAGCCACTGCGTTTTAACACGCTTTCCAGATGACCCTAATGCACCCTCAAGTGTGGGAACCACTTCCACAGAAGATCCTGATCTGTGTGTGTCAAGTGACCCTGACTTTGAGTAGAATCTGAAGGAACCATGAGTGATGCACAGGGCAGGATAAATAAAGCATT